TTTATTTAATAAAAAATCAGGTTTTAATTTTACAATTAATATTAATAATAATATTTTAAATTAATTTATATACCCACCCTACTTCCTACCCCCAAACCCTAAATCAACTCTCACAATTTCTCTCCCCTCTCCCTCCATTCTCTCCACCGCCCCCGCCCTCGCCTCCCCTTCCCTCTCCCTCGTCCGTCTCTCCCCTTTCCCCTCCCTCCCGCAGCAGCGTCACAGCGACGGTGCTGTCGTTCAGCAGCGTCACAACGTTGCTGCGAGCAGCGTCGCTGTGACGACTACTGCTACGACGCTGCTGCCGTTCAGCAGCGTTGCGCACTACACAGCAAAGTCAATTGAAAAGTGTGTTGCTCGGCGTCGCGGGCGATTTGTGGTGTTTTGGGTTTTTAGGTAAGCCATGTGGGGAAATGTGTTCCCACTTTGCAACCCCCCAACCATAGAAAAGTCAATTGAAAATGAAGAATCCATCCATAACTAAAATTGAAAGAGATGCACTGGTTGTAATTCAAGGTCAACGTTCGTAACTGGGAGAGATTTGGAAAAATGGACTTCAGTGATTATACCTTCAAGTTGGTTTGCTTCAAATTCCAAATATTGGAGTTTGGTAAGGAGTTTGGAGGTGTTTTCAGCCCGGTTTTGATGGCTACCGGTAGAAAAAATGTACTGCTATTGTATGGAGTGTTCGGCATAACAATAAGCGTATGTGGGTTTGGGGTTTTTTGTTGGGTGGTGGTTGAGGTGTGACGTGGTTGTGGAGGTGGTGGATCTGAGGTGGTATGTTTTGGGCGGCGGTGATGGATCTGTGGTGGCGATCGTGCAGTGGTGATCCCTGTGGTGGTGGTGGGGGTCGTTTTTTGTTATTGTTGTGGCGGGGTCAACAACGGTGGTGGTTTTTTTTTATGTCTGTGACCTAGCTATTGAACTGTGACTTTAATTTTTTTGATCTGTGACCTATAAAATTTTAAATTTGTGACCTTGAAATAATCTGTGACCTACTAAAAATTTTGATCTGTGACCGATGAAAAAACTATGACCTATAAAATTTTAAATCTGTGAACTCGAAATAATCCGTGACCTACAAAATTTTTGATCTGTGACCGGAGAACAGTCGCCGGAGTGGTCGCCGGTCACAGGAGTAATTGTCAGAGCAGGTGAGATAATTATATTATATTACAGTTAGATATTAAATTTAATAAAATAATTGTGAAATATAATTAATTAATTAATGAAAAACCTGATTTTTGCAATTCTAAACCTTGGGGCATGATTTTTTATTTTGGGATAGATAAAGCTTGAGTTGTGAATTTTTTCCTATTTATTACGTTCCTTTTTTCTTTATTTTTATTATTAAAAAAATAACGTGTGGATCTCTGTTCGACCATTTGACACTTGACCACTTCTCTTTTCTAGGTCAATGCCCAGGTCGATTTTAAAATATTGTTTTCAACCAAACATTTTGAAAATAAAAAATTCTGCATGAAAATTCTAAATTTTTACTTTTTTAATGGCATATTCTTAAAAAAAAATCATTACTTCAAAACTCATTTTTTTACCAAAAAAAGTTGTCAGGGAGGTGCTTAAAATGACACGAAAATGTATCTGAAAAGTAGACTATCTGTACCGACACTCGGTCAATTTCTGAAATGATCTATTTGAACAAAGGTTTATGGTTCATAAATCACATGGGACGAGGACAAAATTTACACAATATCTTCCCCCCACGGACATACACTGTCCACAAAAATAAATAAATAAATAAATTCATTGTTTTGTTTATTTTATTTAACTTGATTAGATCTGTTTAATTTAGACAAATGGCATAGAATCAATTCTCTTGTCATCATTGTCCATTATGTAATAAAGTATTGCCTTAATCAGATGAATTTACAGACTATTTCAAAGAAATTCATGAGCAAATGCCAAAAGTTAAGATGCCTAGATCCAATATCATCATTGTCCATTATGTAATAAAGTATTGCCTTAATCAGATGAATTTACAGACTATTTCAAAGAAATTCATGAGCAAATGCCAAAAGTTAAGATGCCTAGATCCAATAGCATGTTTGGTGTGTGGGACGATTATATAATTTCGATGATAATTGAAAAATAGTCAATAACCCCGATTTTCAAGAAGTAATTATACGTAATAGAGAGCATGAAACCAAACTTTTGAATTGTGGTTAGTTCAACATTCAAGCTCGTGAAAAATACCAAACTGCACAAAATCGAAGAACTGACGAGACAGAATTACAAGCATTTGAATAGAATCACTGAAACCCAACCTACACCTAACAACAGACAGAGACAACTAACAACAGAAGAGCATGGACGAAACTTTGATTCATTATTTGAAAAGAAGAGAAAATCAAATGCTCGACTAAAGGCTCCAGATGTGTCACAATTGAGTAGGGATTGCTTTTCGTACTACATTGAGGCATGTTTAGCCCCATTCGATTGACACTTCACATGCTTAAAAGTACTTTCCAGCTGTGACAAAGCAGCCGCTTCACGTTAATTCTTAGCTCATCTCCTCCCCATCATGGCTCTATTCTTCCTCCCAGCCTTTTCTACACTCATTTCCACTTGTATACAGTACAGTTGTTGCCGGGAGTGAGCTTCATCTAGGAACCAATTTTCGTCATATCCCTGCTTGATCTGTTGTATTGCATGTGACTTTTGACAAGTTGTCCAGCTGCAATGGCAGACATCAAAGAAAGTTCCCCTGCCAAGACAGAACCAGCAACTACGGTGGCCAGGAGCTGGGAATTCGACCCTGGGGATTCTTTGTTCGCACCTTTCACGCCAAGCAAGTTGAGGCAAGCAGATTGTGATGCTAATTGGGTTCCACCTCCAACAGTGCCAACCTGTAAATGAGAAACAATGACAGGAATGATGCAATAATTATGAACACAAACAAATGTGAGAGCTCGCTTATGCATTGTAAAAGATTTCCAAACCAACTGAAAACGTAAAGCTGAATGATTACAGTAGGTAGACAAAAAGATATAAGTTCATTTAAAGAAGCAGAAGTTCCAAAAAAGAGTTATCTAAGCATTTGTTGATTTTGGAGATGAAATCCTCTAAACTATTGAGTTACCTCCCACTGAGGAAAACCAAAAAAATGTAACAAAAAAAATTCCTCATGTCAAAGAAATAAAGATTGTTTTGAATGTTTCATACCTCAATGGAAGGCATGGTGACAGATATATGAAGATCGTCACCATTGTTGACAGCCTCCATCATCGTGATGCAGTGAGAACTTTCTATATTTTGTGCTGGATCCTGCCCAGTGGCTATGTATATAGCTGAGACAATATTGGCAGCATGAGCATTAAAGCCACCAAGAGCGCCAGCAACAGCAGAGCCAGTAAGGTTCTTGAGCATGTTGAGCTCAACGAGAGCAGGAACCGTGGTTTTCAATACATTTGTCACCACATCTCGAGAAATGATAGCTTCACAGACAACTGACTTTCCACGCCCTTCAATCCAATTGACAGCAGCTGGTTTCTTATCAGAACAGAAATTCCCTGCACCATGAATGACAAATCAAAGCTGAATTCCAACACCAAAACATCAAACTAAGTCCCTGCATTCTGCCGTTAATTTTGATCAGTGAAAGCAGGGACCAAACCACCCTCTTATCAGAGGTCAACATATACCAAGTAACGCAATACAGAAAATAACGTGCAAGAAACGTGACAACATTTCTTGCATCCAAGATAATAATCATATAGATATTATCCTAAGAAAAGATACAGCATGATAACTAGCAATGGTCTGACAAAATGACTGGTTATAAAGCAAGAAACAGATTTCAATCTCTATTCAGCCTTTTAGTGCTAATAATTGTCATCTAAAAATTAGAGTTACAATCCAGAAGCAACATTTGAGTGTGAGTGTGTGCAACCTCGAAAAGTAAAGAACACTATAGGGAAATTTCCGAAATAATTTAAGCAATAAGGGGTGTTTAGAACTAACCAGAAATACCAATAATATCCATATCATGAAAATCATTTTGAAGGAAGTCCAGTACATTCTGAACACCTTTAGAAACCATGTTCATCCCCATGGCATCACCAGTGCTGCAGCTAAATCTAATGTAAAGATTTTTACCCGCAATAGCACATTTGATAGCTTGAAGTCTAGCAAATCTACTTGACCTGGAAATATTAAAATAATAATAATAATAATAATAATAATAATAAATGAATAAATCAAATACTGATTATCCACAATAGTTATCAAGTCAGACAAACCAAAATAAAGTGCCCAAAGAAAAATAAATTTTTTTATCAAAAAAATAAAAACCACTTTGCAAAGATCTGAATCTGAAAAAGATTCAAATCAGTTGGGAAACGAACATAAAAACCATCAGACAGGGAAACCATTAATTACAAATATCTGGAAATAATTCGGCATTGAATCCACCTTTTCAACAAATCCCAGAATCAGATACACTTACCAGTGACATGCGAAACACGACACCAATCAACATCATCGGTGTTCACATTCAAGCAAAATAAATGATTCGAACAGTTGACCCATCAAATTAACCAATCGCTCAGCAGAAAAACTCACATTCCATTCAGAGTCGAGATAATTCATAAACTTCAGGAAAAAAAATTGAAAAAAAAAAAAATAGAGGACGAAGCTTACTTGTTGAAAACAACAGATAACGTATCAAAATTAAGAGGGTCCTCCATGAAGAACTTCAATTCTGTTGCCCTTTTCGCGGAGGCGAACCTCACCACTGGAGCTCTGGTCATGGCATCTCGGAGAAGCACACACGTGGCACCTCCAGATGCATAGATGGCTTTGCATCCCCTGTTGGTGCTCGCAACCAAGCAGCCTTCCGTGGTGGCCATTGGCACTGAGTACTCGCAGCCATTGAGCAAAAGCGGCCCCGCAATTCCTACCGGAATCTGCACGTATCCCACTGGCATCTCGCAGCACTGCCCCAAAATTGAATCATAATCGAACCCTTCTAACGGCAATCCTTCTAGAGATCTACCCACCAGCCTCTGGACCGCGTCGCGCCGGATTTTAGCCGCTCTAAAGCAATCTCCGAGCTTTGATTCCAAGTAATAAGAAGGAACTTTCCCCGAAACAACAGATTTAACGAGCTCTTCATCGTCTTGGGAGACCAAGGGTGTAGTGGGAAGGTCCATTAATCTAGGTTTAGCAGAAACAGAGGACGGCACGGGACAACGAATATTTCGATCTTCGTTCACAATGAAACGCTGTTCGTCGTCGTTTTCAAGATCCCAAGCCGAATTTCGCGAAATGATGGATTGAACAAAGTCAATTCCAAAGAAACCTAAAAGGTAAATGAATGACGCTATTAGAGTAACAATGGCGGCAAGCTCGGAGAGTGTAACAACGTGAAGCGGAATAGATGTACGGATCTTTTCGCGCCACCGGTGGAGAAGAAAATATGCGACGGAGAAGAAAAGCGTGAAGAAAATGCAGTTAGTTAGGTATAACGGAAGGGGGAGGGCGTCGGAGGCTTTAGGAGACCGCTGATCGACGGCCTCTTGATCGGAGGAGGCGGCGGAAGGCGAAGAAGTAGCAGGCTTAAGCTTTTGATTGTATTGAGACTGAGAGGGTAAGGGAGGCCTCCGGCGAATGTCCATATTCTTCAGATTGCAGGTTAGAGAGATGAAAGTGGAATATGGGAGGTGTATAGAGAGAAAATGGGAGAGAATAAATTTTAAAAATGGAAAAATATTTTTGTCCTCTTCTCTTTTCAAAATCAATGGAGGTGCCATAGTTTCGGTAATTCGGGGAGTTTATATAAGGTGGGGTGGGGTAGAGTGGGGTTTATAATATGCTGGCATTTTTTTTTTCTCTATCGTATTCGTGACTAATTCAAAATAGGGAAAATTAAATATGTACAAAGTTTTCAAGATACACTTTGAAAAATAATTATGAAATCTTTTTAAAAAATCAGGTAATTAAATTTTTGACCTCTAATAAAATTTTATGACCTGATTTAATTAATCAAGTCATAATTACAATAAAACGATTTATGGTAATAAACACCAACCGACTACAAACAACATCAGATTACGATTACAAAGACACAATTCTGAATCACAATTATGTACTTTAGTCACAAGTCAAATATTTAATAGATCATATAATATTTATTAATAACAAATTATCCAAAGTTATGGTAACAAAGACACGACCGTTACATAATTTAGTCACTAATCACATATTTAATAGTCATATATTATTTATTAGTTACAAATTATTAATGAGTGGGTCATAATTATTCAATTAATTGTCGACGTACGCTATTCTCACACACCATACATATCTTCTCTCCTATTCTTTAATAGCTTTTTCCACCAAACCATTATCGCACCGTTGTTAGTCATTGATTTTCTTCTCACCCAACCTCACAACACCTTACCCCACCCCACCACCTCTGACAACCATAGAGAGAGTGATGGAGAAAATGGTCGCCATTGTAGCCCAGCTCCCCATTTCTCAAAATTCCCTACCACCTCCACGGTAAGAAACGATAGCGCCTACACAGCCACACCACCTTCACTTTCAACTGGACCATTGCCAATTGCAGCGCGTCGAACCACCAAAGACTTCTAGATCTACATTAAAAGAGCCTTCACCACCACCACCACCATCTCAACCTGCCTCTGTGGCCATTACCATAACCATTTTCGTCCATGAATTCTTTCCCTTGAATTATCTACCAAAAGACACCCTCAATCAGATTTCACTAAACAATAAGCACAAACCATTATGCCATCGTTACCATCCATGATTCTTCCCAAACCTCCCCAAACCCGTCGTCATCACAAGCACTCTCAAATGAGATCAGCGAGGGCTATAAGTGGTGGCAGGTAACTACGAGACCTTATTTTTATATCTATAGAGCCACAAACGAGGGACGGTGGGTAAGGATGGAGTAGCGATGGTGGGCAACAACGAGTGAGGCATGGGGATTGGAGGTTTATAGGAAAATCATTTTATCAAAATGACAATCTAAAAAACATGTAGTAAATAAGTCACCTATTAAGTTCAAATTACCTAATAGTGGATGGTGAATCAAAATCAACATAAATTTCAAGTCTTTGTTGGGGATCCATTTTTGTAGTTGTAAGGGTGAAATTGAAATTTAGACAGCACAACTGAAACCTCATATGTGAGAAATATTATGTTCATGACCAAATGCAAGTTGCAAATGTGAATATTGATAATAAGCAATTGGTTTTATACGAACCAATGATGTAACATGTAATACGTCATGAACCCAAACAATTCGATCCTCATCCCCACAGTTAAATGCTCTTCGGCTCGGACGACTTGGGAACCCAGCTCATGTCACGAGCTATTTTCTACCCGTGAAGAGCCAGACCTAAAAAAAAATTAAATTAAATTTTCAATACAAATATATCGTTATGTACATGAAAACTCTTATGACAATGGTATTTTTTGGGACAAATATGGGCGTTTGAGGCGGTTCCTGAAATTGGTGAAAGGTTTGGCAAAAGGGTTGGTAATCGATCGCCAATCTTTTTAGGTGGACGTCTACAAAACAATCGCAACAACTTACGTAACAAACATTCTTCAAGAACGAAGATATATTTGATCGTGTTGAATCAAGTCAATCTTTCAATATGGAAACTGTATAGAATAATACATTCCCATGGACACTCAATTTATGTTTTCGTAGCTACAAGTGTTTGCAACACTGGAGTGTGATCAATCACATGGCTCCACTCTTATGTCTTTTGAAGTTACTCTCTGCCAGAGTTGGACGACATTGCAAGGAATATTGCACCCCACAGTTTCATTAGTACTAAAACTTGGAATCGATGATAAGTCTGTTAATATTGTAACTATTGTTTGAAATAGATGGAGAAGGCATCGACCCCAAAGGTGTGTGCTCGAATGACCAGGAGGGTTTATTGCCTACTGAGAAGTAGGATGTCAATGGTACGTATGTGAAGTATGAGAAATTCAAAATTTTAAAAACTCTAATCTTATTCTCTAGTATACAATTTTGGAATCGATAGCATATATGTTAATATTACAACTGTTGTTTTCAATTAGATAGAGTAGGCATCGACCCCGAAGGTATGTGCCCAAATGACCGGAGGGTCCATTGCCTATGGCAAACAAGATGTGAATGGTACGTATGTGAAGTACGAGGAATTCAAAATTTTAAAGACTCTAATCTTATTGTCTAATATACAAACTAGAAATTGATGAATATTTGTTAATAGTGCAAATGTTGTTTTCAACTAAATGGATGAGGCATAGAGCCCAAAGTGTCCTACACAGAGAACGAGGAAGTTTCCTTGGGTTGTGACGTGATGGAGGAGGATGGTAAGTTTTCTATTGAAGATATTATACTAAGTTGAATTCTGATTATATACTCTATGCATGTTGAGTTGAAAACTAAAGTTGAATATCTTCTCATGATTTAAATGCAGATGGTACAACAATGTTGGAAAATGCCATGAAGGAAAGTACACCACTCACTTCTAATGCCATGGTCCAACCTGAAAGTAAGTTCCCAAAGAAGGATTCATGATGTTGATTTTAGGTAGCCTAGCGGATAATTAGATGTTGGTAGGCTATGTTATTTTATTATTTGTCATTTTGGATAAGTAATTTGGCTCGTACTACTTTTGCATAGGTTATGTCACTGACAACGGCCACTATACTAGTCAAAGGCGACAATGTAGTTAATCAAATAGGCCGCGTCGACATGCCTTCGCTTTCTTGCATCATCTACCATGATTCCATACACCAAGAAAAGAAGAAAGATAGTCAAGAATTAGTGCCCAAAAAGTTTGTTAATACTATGATAAACACTACTTGGTGGTTGCATATATTTGTGCATACTTATCTCCTAGAATTATTGTTTCCATTTTTTACAACTTTTGGATGTAGGGTGGATGTTATCTTTGTGATATGTGAACTTATGAATTCATCATTCATCGTTATGTTTGCCGTTTCTTTTGTATACGACATTCAGAATAATATGATCATCAACTATAATTATTTATTGTACTTTTGTCATGGATTCATATGGTAACATCTGTACTTAATGTTTGCAACCAATTGTTGAGAATGATAAGAACCTTATGTCAGGACTGATAGTTTTACTTTTGGGATGCAATGAAATATTTTGTATGTAACCTTAAACATGACTAATATCTGTAAACGGTAATGAAACGTCGTGATAATATAACATCTGAACGTATAACACCAGCATTGTGACATGCAAAAAACAACCATGGACAAGTTAGGAACAAAAACATTTTGTTGGGACCGATAGTTAAACTGATGGAACGTAATGAAGTAATCTGCCTATGTGAGAACATTGCTGTGAAGTTATTACAACACAATTGATGTTTGAAAATGAAAATGATAATATAATTTAAAAATGTACAATTCCATCATTCGGTCTTGCAAAATATGACTTTAACCAATTTTAGACATTAAGCCTATTTACGTGAGTATTGTTACAATGGGGTCGGAACATGTGGTCGGATTATGGTCAACTCCACCACAACAAATGTATTTCCTAATTTGTATGGTAGACTTTTATCTGGATTGCTTGCGTCGTGTGGATGGTCCATCTGAAAGGCGACGTACAAGGGATGAGAAAATAGGAATAGATCTAATTCTGTTCGGAACAACCCAATCCACTTTCCTTGCGTCAGGATATATAGCTTCGCTATAGGTATCCCCTCTAATAGTCCACTATATAATAAGAAGAGCATAGATCGTACAATGACTCACCTCTCAAGCAAGCAGCATGAGTTGCATAAACACATGGCATATGATTTAGTTGGCACTTACGACAAGTGCACGCATTTTCCAAAAAGTCTACCATGTTCGTGTTAGTAGATATACCAACATGTATTAAGTTATTTGTCAAGGTATGAGCTCAAAACCTAGTATCAGTTTCGAATGTTCTCCGTAACTCATTCTACATTTTTGATGACAATAAGGTACTACATTTGGTTGCATTTGTTCGATGTTCGTAAAACTACTTCTGCATAGTACTCCGAATGTGTTGGACCAAGCATGTGATGGGTAACGAATGTCTCAATATTGAGTTCAAAGATTCCGCACTGTTGTTTGTCATAATTTTATATCGTTGTCCAGTGAATAGTGCTCGTGACCAATGTGAAAACCTACTTGCTCCAAGTACCTGTAGGTTCTTGTACTTATCCTACGAATCTATCCTATAAGTCGTTCGAACTCTTCAACAAGATAAGTTGTAGCAGCTTGTTTGAATAGAAAAACTGAACTTGCGTTGTACCACTGGATTAAGTTCTTTTCCATATGTCACATACAACCATGGTGAGACAAAGGAAATAAGTGATGTCTTTTTCAATATTGTTTTTCCTGTCCGAAACAAATACGAGTTCATTTGACTCACCTAAAGATCTTTCAACTTCGACGAAATAACATTCACGATTTATTTGTTTTGGCATCTATGATCCCCATGCTAAGGGATCAATTTGTTTGTTAGCATCTTGGGCAATTGCCAGTAAAAGTATACTTTTGTGAGGAACTTTCAAATGACTAATGTCAACACAAATAACGGACCTCAACTAGTGCATGTAACCACAAATGCTTGTAT